CCTCTCACCGTCCCTGCACCTCTGGCCTGTACCCCAGTTCTGTATGCAGAAATAAATACATCTTTTTTAAAAAATGCTAAGCCTATCTAAGACACACACAGCTGTGGGCTGTGCGGGCGTCTTCAGAATGTGCAGCAGAGTCGTGGCCCAGGATTGGCACTGACCGCCTGCCGTCAGGCTTTGCCCCTTGGAAGGAGAGGAGGCACAGTGTAGCGTGAGGATGCTGGTAACGAAACCTGTCACGCATGCTGCTCCCTTCCGTGACTGGAGAGTGCTAGGGACTGTTTGTCTCCTCTTCTGGCGCCACGGCCTTGGGGCACAGGACAGCCGCAGGGGCAAGCAAGCTTTTCGAGTGTCTGGCTGTCCCTGCAGTCAAGTTGCTGAGCGTTTCTCATGCTGGTCTCTGCTGACCCAGCGGTCGTAGTACGGGTGACACCGACACTTCAGAGACAGTCCAGGCTCACGGCCTGACGCACGGAACCTGCTGGCTGCCCATTGGGAGCTCTGAGATGCCAGGCGGTGGCAATCTAGAAAGTTACCGTTTTCTTCCTGTTTCCATCCAGGATTGCAGCAGGTGATGGCGAGCCGGCAGATGCCCTCGGAAAGCCTGGACCCGGCGTGCAGCCCCCGCGCGCCCTACTCCGGCTTTGCCGCTGAAGGCCGAAGTACGTTGGGAGACGCAGAGGCCTGTGATCCGCCCCCTCCTTACTCTGATTTTCACCCAAACAATCAGGAAAGTACTGTGAGCCATCCTCGCGCAGAGCCTGGCGTCTTCATGCCTCGACCTCAAGCCGTGGGCTCTTCCAGCTATGCTTCTGCCAGTGCCGGACTCAAGTCGCGGGGGAACGGGGCAGGCCTCCCTCCCTCCCCACGAGCAGCAGGAGACAGTGCTGAAGAGTCAGACGACAGTGATTATGAAAATTTGATTGACCCTACAGAGCCTGCGGAGGGCGACTACTCACAATCGCGGGATTCCCGCCCCGGGACACATCCTGACGGGGGCTCCAGGAACACTCAGGCCTCCCAGATTTAACGGAACCACAGAAACTCTCCACTCCAAGCTGTTTTTCTTAATCACTCATTGAGAGAGTTTCTTGAGGACTTAATCTGAGGGAAGAACCGCTTTCTCGGACCCCGGGGCTCCCAGGAGGAGCGCCCTGGGGCCTAGGACTGAAAGGAGCCTCTCGCCCACGGGGCCACCCTTGGACACGGTGGTCAGTTGTCACATGCGAATCATTGAGATAATCAAATTGTCCTAATTCTGGTGCGGTTCATGGGTGTACTGGTCAACTTAGGCAAAGTGCGACTTATCAGTGTAGTTTCTGTTCTTTAAATAAATTGGAAATTAGAGACTAAGCACAATTAGTCTATAATGTTCTATAAATCAAAAACTTACCTCTTGCACTATCATGCCTTGAAATTTACTTTTTCAAAGGGAAACTAGTCTAGCTGCAGCCTTCAAAGAAACTCCTTTCTATGATGAGCCAAATTCATCTTTGCCAGAAAAGAAATTTTGATAATTCCACAAAGCCTGATTGGAACAAATCCCACCACCCTCCTGTCTGCATGACGTTGTAAGGTCGAAAGAGAGGGCTTCGTGTCAACTGTTTCCTACCAGCCCAAATGTATTGTCACTAGAAATGGTTGCCTTTAAGAAAAGAATGGTAGAAATGCTAATTACCCATAAGTCATCATCCAAATAGGTATGTCATACAATAACGACTTATTTTCCTTCGGGGGAATGACAGAGACTGGGATGCTGCACTGGCCACGTTGGTGGCCTCTGTCCTGAAGCGTCAGTGAAGGGCCGCAGCAGTGACGGCGGAAGGGAGCCACCGCCGGAGCCCGGCTTTCCAGCGAGCAGCGCCAGGCACGGTGGATTTAGCGGATTCAGACATAAGGGATAGAACTCACTTAGCTCTTCTGACACATCCTAGTGTTAATTTTATTTGTGGAGGAAAGACGTTGATTAAACTGTTTGGGAATCTTGATTAATAAAGATTCGTTTCAAATCTGAACACCCATCCGTTTTCTTTAAGTTGCCACTTGGACAATAACTGTGGATTGTCTGGAGGTTTTCTCTGGGGGTGCGCTTGCAGTCCTAAGGAATTGCTGCCGGTTCCCCAGCGAGGCCCAGAATGTGAAGGCGCAGTGGCAGCAGGAGCACGTGCGCTTGGCCTGCCCACGCAGCGGCCTCTGGCGCTCCTCAGCCAGAGACAAGCGCTTTGGGGTGTCACTGCCTTTCCTTGGAGCTGGTTCAGCCCCGTAAGAATTAAGAATGAGGAAGCTGTTCAAGATCGGCTCAGTAGCTTGGTCTCACAGGAGAGGAGTTTGCTCGCCAAGCGCAGCTCCAGTCCGAAACTGGAGGCGTCGTGTGGTCTGAACGAGGGAACACAACGCGCGGTTCTTCAGACGGCGCGGGTGGTGGCCCAGGCATCTGGGGTTCTCGGGCCTCACACCGCTGCCCTGTGACTGGAATGTGCAGACCAGACCCGGTCAGCCACCTGAAGCGGCTTCAGCACCCGTGTGGATTTACTTTGTTTTTGAAGTGCCATCGCCATCTCCTCTGTTCTGATGTTGACATTCAGGAAAATATTTTTATTTTTATGCCATATTGAAATCTACAATGTATCAGACAAAGCAGTTAAATGTGACAATAAAAATGTATTTAATCATGGTACCCTTGTCTCAATGTCTGTCTCGGCCAACAAGTCTTGCCTCAGTTTCCTTATTCTGGCCGTGCCCAGTAGTGTGTGTACAGTGTTTTTCAAGGCCATTAAAGCTCATCTCTGTGCAGGTTATTTTTTATTACGTTGGTTTCAGAGGAAATCCAGGAACACAATTTAGTAAAATGTTTCTGTTGGTTTCAAGAAGGTGTCGCATATCCAGTCTCTTGAGAACTGAGTGTCAGCTGAGTATGGGACAATCTGAGGAAGACCCTTGCACAGAAGAACTGGGCTGACAAGACGCCTTGGCCTGGATCACCTACCGAGGGCGGCGCCCTGGCCTCAGGAATCAGCCCTGACAGGCTCCGTTCCCTTCGAGCAGCGTCCCTTTCTGAGTGCCAGGCAATGCTGATTTCAGCAGCACTTGCCGGAACAGCGTGTAGTCTGTGAGGGTTCTGCTCTGTGTCTCCAGAGAAGAAAAGGCTGGATTCTTTTTACTTTCTTAGAAGTCTGGAAATGCTGAATTAAATGTTGTAATTGGCTTTTCTGGACAAAGATCAAAAACATAAAAACAGAAATCTCATCCCCAAACATCCAGACCCTCGGGATATATCTTTGCATTCCAGACAGTTGCATGGTGACAACTGCTTTAATAAAGCCGCTTACGTTGCCTGCCGGTGAACCCTGTTTTAAGGAGGTGAAAAGCCTAAAGGATTGGAAAACGGTAGAAGTGAAGGATAGTGACTGGCCTAGTTGCGTCTGCCTCCCCGGCAGGCTTCATCTCAGTTACTGAAAGATCACACTGCTCTGTTTTGTTCTTTCCGACAGGAAGCCTTCCTGCTAGAAAGGGACCCCCAAGGCAACCGACTGCCAACATGGTACTCATAAATAATGAAAAATGTTTATTCTTCATTTATTATGACAAACAGATTCGGGGAAAGTTGTGGGGTTTAGCTTAACTTTCTTTTCAGGCCAATTTTTGTGATGTCCTAAGTAAGACAGAGAGTCAGGACTTAAGTGTACATCCTAATTGGGTTATTGGGGTTTCTTGATCACTGAAGATGGGCAACAGTCCCCCTATAATAAGACTTGGACCTTCACCAGGGAGATAACCCTTGAATGCCAGATGTTACACATGGCCAGAATATGCTGCTAAGAAGTGGCCTTTTGTTGGTACAGATTTAGCAAAAGGAAGTTCATTGTAGCATTTTTGTTAAGATTTTTTATTTATGTATGCAAGAATTGGGATGTAGACCAGAGGTGTGAGGGGAGAGGGCGAGAGGATTCACCAGAAGTGATGGGGAGCAGAAGAGGTGGGTCTACTGAAATCTAGAGGGGAGCAGTGAGCAGGAAGACAGGCGAGGTCTGCCCCCTGGGGGTCGCTCCCTGGCCGTGGATGGAGCTCAGGCCGCAAGGCTGGTGGTCACTACGTAGTGCTGATACCTAATCTCAGGGCCACCAACGAGACGCCAGCAGCATTTTTCAAAAAAAAAAAAATGTGGAAAAGGACCCTAATGATAGCGGGAATGGTAAAGGTTGGTGCCCCCATGCAAGAAATTAGCGGTTACTAAAAATACCAAAATGCCCATCAGAAAGCTTTCATGGAAGGGAAAGCCAGTTTCCAGGTAACAAGCCAAGAATCCTGGTTTCCAGCTGCCAAGTCTGGTCTGGCTTACGTAGGCACAAGGGTTCCTATGGGACTGCCGTTGGTAACAGTCCAGAGCGTCACTCACGCCAGTGCCAGCGGTGTCGTCTCTGGGTGGTGGCAAAAGGGGTGACCCCACCGCCCCCCACCCCCGCCATTTATCTCTATTTTGAGTCTTCAAATTTTTCTTCAGTAAGTATATAAAAGACTTCTGAAACAGTGCATCATTGGCTACCTGAATTATTTCCTGTGCTCTGAATGTTCTCGACTCTCTGGGTCTCCTCCTGTCTCACCTCAGGCTGTTAGATATGTGGCCAGTGTAAGATCAGCCCATGGAGGCTGCTTGCTTCCCACAGTCACTTTTAGCCCATTTCCGGGTGAAATCATCTACTTACATCGCGTTCATGCTGACACTGACTTTACTCCTCATTAACCCAGAGCCAGTTCACCTTCCTTTAGCCCAGGAGCCTTGCCTAAATTCCCAAGAAGTTCTTAAATGTCTTCAGAGACTGAAACCAGTCCGAGGGGGCAGCAATTATTTGTGATACTTCTCTCAGGCCAAAAGTGCTGAGGACACAGCAGTGGATTTCAGTGGATCGACTGTTCTGCTCCCCACTCTGTCTCTGGTGAGTCCTCTCAACCCCTGGACCTCTGGCCTATACTCCATTTCGTACATGCATAAATAAAGTAATCTTTAAAAAATAAACAAACCCAAAAAAGTGCTCATGGCAAGAGGGTTTGAGGGCCTGAAAAAGGAAGAATTAGCTCCTTGATTTTTTTTTCAAGATTTATTTATGCACACAGAACTGGGGTACAGGCCAGAGGCACAGGGGTGGTGGAGGATTCATCAGAGGCAGAGTGGGGAGCAGAACAGGCAGGATGATTGAAATACATAGCCGAGAGGAGCAGGGGGGAGACGGGAGAGGTCAGCTGTGCCCTGGGGGCCCCTTCCTGGCCAGGAACTGAACTAGTGCTGAAGTGGCTGTGGCCAGCCTCCAGCTAGCTTCGGAGTGCTGAGCTTTAACCCCTTGCGACACCAGAGAGGCCTGACTTCCTTGACCTTGCAGATAATTCTGGTGTGACTCAGGAGTGCTGCTTGCTGTTAGCCCTCAGGGAGTAGACCCATGGGTGCTCAAGCCATGTACAAACAAGTCTGGGAGGTGTTTGATTCCAGAGTAAACATATGACTGCTTGGGACACCTGCTATGCCAAGCCAGTTGTGGGCACTGCTGGATGGAACCAGGAGCCCTTTGTCTTTCCTCTTAACAGATTAGAAAAAGAAGTGTTTCCGGCCCTCCCTGGTGGCCCAACAGGTTAAAGCGCGGCGGCACTGCAAGCTGGCTGCAGCCACTGGCATTTAACTTGGCACTTATGGGATGACAATTTTGCCGAAGCCCCCAGCCTGCTGTAATGGTCTGCTCTTCCTGGGAAAACCGGCAGAACCTGGTAGCACCCTGGGTCAGCTGGATCTGGTCGAATCGTCCACTGACGGCACGCCCTCGTAGGCTGTGTAGACATGTGAGCACGTCTGGATGAACCGTGACTTTAGGATGAAGAAAAGCCAAAGGTGTAAACCCCCGGAAGTTAGACGGACAGGCCATCCTGACTTCCCTGGGGAGCGTTGAACCTGTCGGGTCCTCCAAGGAGCCAGAATCCTCTCACCTGCCGTCGGCGTTTCACGGTGAGGTTCCGGTCAGCGCTGTGCTACCACCTGCCCAGGCCATCAGCTCCGGCCTGTCTAGCCCCAGCTTCTCCCATGAGCCCCTTCCCCTGCCCACCTGCTATCCTGGGCCACTAAGGTGTCCTGTGAAAACAGGGACCTCGTCTGCTGGTGATGATGACCCTGTGACCGACCTCGGGGCCCCCGGCCTCCTCTCCAGACCTCAGAGCACTGAGGCCTTGCAGCAGCGCTGAGAGCCTCTGGGGCCCGAACCACCTGGAACTTGACTTCCTTAACTGTGTGTCCTGGGGCAGGTTCCTCCACCTCTCTGAGCCTCGTCTACAACAGGAGCTGGGCAGGGACATCTCTCTCACGGGGCTGTTGGGGGGTGGTGGGAGAGGAGTCAGTGAAGGCCTGAAGAACTAACACAGAGAATCGCACTGCTGAGGGCTGAGTGAGGACTCACCCGGCCGCACACCCGGCCGCAGTCAGACCAGAGCTCTGTGGCGCTGAGGCCTTTCCTCAGAGGGGCCCGTGCGGGACAGGCGGGGCCTCGGGCTCAGGTCAGCTCTTGCTCCTTTTATCTGTCTGCAGCATTGTGCTTTGGGTATGTTCTGGTCGGAAGCCCAGGTGCTGAAAGCATAGATTGGCCGGGTCCCCACACTGCCCCCTGGAACTTTCCATGATGCTGGCAACACAGGACAGGCCAGTGCACCCAAGAGCTGCCCGACTTGACTCAGCTGTAACTGATTTGGATCTTGATTTTTTAAAAAGATTTATTTATGGGGCCCTCCCTGGGGGCGCAGCGGGTTAAAGCTCAGCACTAAGAAGCTAAAGCCACTTCAGCATGAGTTCAATCCCCACCTGCCCCCGAGGAGACCACAGGGCGCGGCAGACCTCTCCTGACCGCCCGCTGCTCCCCTCAGCAGTGTACTTCATGTATCTGCCTGTTCTGCTCCCCGCTCAGTGTGTGGTGAATCCTCTCACCATCCCTGCACCTCTGGCCTGTACCCAGTTCTGTATCCATAAATAAATAAATCTTTAAAAAACAAAAAGATATTTAAAAAAAAAGATTTATTTATACTTACAAAACTGGGGTACAAGCCAGAGGTGCAGGGTGGTGAGAGGATCCACCAGAGACAGAGTGGGGAGCAGAACAAGCCAACTGATGAAGTCCACAGCTGAGGGAGCAGCGGGGAGACAGGAGAGGTGTGCGGGGCTCTGGGGGTCACTCCCTGGCCAGGGATCGAACTTGTGCTGAGGCAGCTGCAGCCAGTTTCATAGTGCTGTGCTGTAACCCGTTGCGCCACCAGGGAGGACCCTGGGTCTTGATTTAATAGTCACATGCCACATGACCAGTGTCTCCCATACTGGACAGTGCGGGCCCCTGACCGCCGAGTCTCAGAGAGGAGCCGAAGCTCAGCGCCTCTCCAGCCTGACCCTGGGCCGCCCCAGCTCCGCCCCTCGCAGCTGCAGAGCGTCCACTCAGCCGGTCTCCGGTCTCGGGTGGGCGCGTTTCTCCCAGAACCGCAGAAACAGACAGGCTGCAGCACTCGCCCGGAGCTGGGGCTTTGGCACCACGCTCAGGAAGCCTGGCAGCCCCCTGCCCAGCCTTGCTGTCCTGCCCTCAGGGACAGAGGCGGCGCCTGCCCCAGGCAGCAGCAACCCAGCCCAGCCTGAACAGAAGGCCCAGACTGAGGTGGGAC